ACATAGAACAACTAAGGCTCACATAGTCATTCAATCAAGTAAAATATAGAACAAGTAGAACACACAACCAAATAAGGCATAAAGTAATCTAGAATCTATCCCGAGCATAAATAATCATAGCACATGCATATACACTCGTCACTTCACCTATACATCACCCTCGCATGTGGCAAACAATATCAATTATTAGAAAACATTCTCCCAAACCAAAGCTATGCAAGAAACTTACCTCATCCGGGCTAGTCTAAAGCTCCAAAACTACATTTCCTTTAGAAAGCACCTCCAACTGGCTAGAATCTAACCAAACATCATCCAAGGAAGTCAACCAATGCCATAGGAAGCAATCTCAATTAATAAAGTTTCGATCTTTATTGAATTCCCAAAAACAAACAAAAGTTAACTCGTACCCACGTGCCCGAAATTCAAAACCAATACCAAATCTCAACTATCCATAACTTGTCGAGTCCAAATATATAATTAGTTTTCAAATCCGGATCCAAATCGGTGGTCGAATCCCCAAAATACACTCTCTTAAGGTGTAGATAAAAATCCTGAATTCCATATCAAAATTCCATATTTAGATGTTAAAGATCCATATAGATTCTTGAAATATAATCATAAATAGGTAAAAATCACTTACCCTCTTGCCTTGTATGAAATTTTTCATGAAAAATCGCCGTTCTCCAAGTCTAGGGTTCAAACTATGAGAAAATAAGCTCAAAATCCCAAAAAGCAGCTATGCATACTGCCAGCGAACCCTTTTGGGAAGGCAACAAGACCACCATGTTCTCCATGCACAACTCTGCTGCCAACAATTCCTTTATCGTGTTCGCGGGACCTACTTCGCGTTTGCGGAACACCTTCGCGATCGCATAAGCCAACCGACCAATCCCTTTTGCGAATGCAGAAAATCACTCGTGAATGCAAAGAAACAATTCCTCCATCCCACTCTTTTCTTCGCGAACGCAACGCTACCCTCGCGAACGCGATGCACATCTGACACCAGCAAAAACCAGCAATTCCAACTTAGTCCAAAATGGTCTGAAACCACTCTGAAAGTCACCCGAGCCCCTCGGGACCCCTTTGAATCATACTAACAAGTCCAAATACATTATCCAAACTTATCAAAGGCTTGAAACACCACAAATAACATCAAAATGAAGAATCGAATATCAAATCATTCTCTTTACTTTCAAACATCCCAACTTCGTCAAATGCGTTAGAATCACACTTAGACATTTCGGATCACAACCAAACTTTTCACACAAGTTTCAATAAATTAAATGAACATATTCAAGGTCTCAAAATCACAATAGAAGTCCAATAACACCAAAATCGACTTCCGGTCAAACCTAAGAACTCTCCAATTCTTCAAATTGCCAACTTTCAACAAATAGAGCCAAAATCTTCTAGGAACATCCAAATTCAAATCCGAACATACGTCCAAGTCTAAAAATCACAATACAAACCTGTTGAAACTATCAAATCCCGATTCCGATATGGTTTACTAAAAAGTCAAGCCTTGGTCAACTCTTCCAACTTAAAGCTTCCATAATAAGAATTAGTCTTACAAAGCAATTCCGAATCTCAAGGAAATAAAAACCAACGACACTCGCAAGTCATAAAACTACTCAAGGTCTCAAATCACATAACGAAATACTAGAACTCAAAACGATCGGTCTGGTCGTTATACCAATTACCCAAATTCCTCTCCGAGATCGCGATCATGTACTCCGCGATCACAAAGCACTGCAGAACCAGCAAATCTACTACTCCTAACTCAACCAAAATGGTCTGAAACCACCATAAATCACACCCGAGCACCCCTAGACTCCGTCCAATTATAATAACAAGTCCATATACCAAATTCAAACTTATTCAAGGGCTCGGAAAACCACAAATAATATCAAAATCAAGAATCAAATCTCAAAATCCTTATCTTAACTTTCAAACATTCAAACTTCGTCGAACGCATCCGAATCACACTTAGGCATTTCGAATTACAGCCAAACTTCGCACATAAGTTACAATCCACTAAATAAACCTATCCAAGGTCTCAAAACCACAATCGGAGTCCGATAATTCCAAAGTCAACCTCCGGTTAAACTTAAGAACTCTCCAATTCTTCAACTAACAAACTTTCGACAAATAGAGCCAAAACCTTCTAGGAACCTCCGAATCCAAATCCAAATACACTCCCAAGTCCAAAATTACCATACAAACCTATTGAAACCATCAAATCCCGATTCCGAGGTCGTTTGCTCAAAAGTCAGACCTTAATCAACTCTTCCAACTTAAAGCTTCAAAATTGAGAATTACCCTTCTAAACCAATCCTGAGCCTCCTGAAAATCAAAATCAACCATACTCCCAAGTCATAATGCATCATATGGAGCTACTCAAGGTCTCAAGCCATCGAACGAAAAAGCTAAATCTCAAAACAACCGGTCAGATCGTTACAAGAAGCCTCTCGCCCTTTTATAACGGAGAAAATTATGACTCTTATAGACTGGTTGCTGACACAACCGCAAGAAAGGCCGACTCTTCCATAAAAAAAGATATAAGGCTTTACTATAATCACCTTAACCAGAGTGAATATTGTCTTGACCAAAGATCTTAGGCATCCTCGTTAGAAGATACACTGATTTAATAACCTAGAACCACCATCTCAGAGCCGGCTGAAGGGTGAAGTAGCCCAAGCGACTGCTTTAGACCTCATATTCTCGGGGCCCCCCATTTTTTTTAAGTAATAGTATATATGTTAATTTTCCTTAAAAATATTGAGTGGTTTTAAAGAAGTTCAATTTTTCATTCTAAAAAAGATATTTTTTTTCTTTCGATATATGTGTCATTTTGGCAAATATTTTCTTGGTGCATTTATATTTTGACATTTATTCATTTAAAGTATTCCCTTTCTTCGATTTTGAGAGTATTATTCGTGGTGAAACATCTTCTTACATTTCTCTTCTTGTTGTTTCTTAAGTTTTCAAGCATTGCAATAAGTATACGTACTTAAACAACGAAAGGTTGTTTTGATATTATGATATCAACTTGAATCAGATTCTATTATTTAAAGTTTCTATTATTTTTTACTTCCAAAATTAATTATCATTGAATGTTCTTTAAAATATAATACCCATTATTACTTATTTTTCAAATGAAAAGTGTTTGGAAAAGTAGTATAAGTGAAAGATAATACTTCAATTGATATGTTCAATCAGATAAAAAAACTCTGTTCTTTTCTAAATGCCTTTGTTGTTTATAAAATAGGGTTAACAATTTATATAACAATTGTCTAAATGGAAATAAGTTTTTCAAAATTAAAATTAATAAAATCTTATCTAAAATCAATAGTTTATGGAAAAAAATTAAATGGAATTAGCTCTATTTTGTATAACCAAACTGGATTGGTTATATTATCAATTAATGTTTTTAAGAAAACAATTATACAAAATTTTTAGTCATAACCATAATTTTGCATCTAAAAAAATAAACTTTAAATAAAAATACATAGTTCTTTTTCCGACAAAAAAAATAAAATTAAGGCATCTTATTTTTTTCCTTAAACCTTGTTGTCTTGGAGGGAAGACCACTTATTGAAGTTTGACTTTAGGCCGCCGTCTTCATTAAGCCGCCCATACACCATCTTGCATATTAAATGATAATTCTCTACATGCATTCATTGAGATGAGAAATCCTACTAAAATAAGATATATAAATTGCCATATCTTTACTAGAATAAGAAAAATCTCACCCTAAATAAAACTCTTTTAATGACTACATTGTGGATGCTATTGTATTTTTGTGTATGAAGGAGAGATTCTCAATTTATAGAGGTACAAAACTTCTCCTCCAAGAAAAGAAATTTTCTAATTACAAAAGAGATATGTATTTTTCTTATAGGAAAAGTAAAATTTATTATGGTAAATATTTTACCCTTCCTTCTAGTAACTGGAAAATACAAATATGAAAAGAAAATCAGAAAAAAATCCTAACAATTCTCCCTTTTTGGCCTGAATTTTCTTGACAAGGTTTGATCCACCTTCTTCACATAATCTTCATCATTGCTGCTTGCCATGATTAAAAATATGTATTGGGTTAAAAATTGGAACCTCACGCGTTAAAAGTGAATACAAATTAAAAGTATTGGAGCCCTACGTTTAAAGTGAGCAGAGTTAAAATTAGAGCCCCACGTTAAAAGTGAGTAGGTTAAAAGTAGGAGCTCACGCGTTAAAATTAAGCATAGATTAAAAGTGAGCCATGCGATAAAAGTGAGGAGGATTAAAAGCGGGTACTCATGCCTTAAAAGTAAGCATGGGTTGAAAATATTTTTTGTTTTAAAGATATAGCAACAAGAATGTTAAAAAAACATATGATTGAAAATTTATCTGTAGCACTCTGGAAGTTTTTTTGTTTTTTTTTTGTTTTTTTTTAACAAATCATTATCATCAAGTTGGTTGCACTTGATCTGAACTTGTTTTTAACCTCGCTTCTAACCATTGACTTTGATACCATTTGTTGGGATTAAAATTAACAAAGCATCATGCGAAAGCTAGCAAAACAAATCTTGGCGACAATAAATCAGATAACAAAGAAAAATAAACTAAAGAAGCATACTACTTTGATATGATTTGGTCACTTGACCTACATATGATAAAATTAATAATAAAGAAAAAGCTATTGAGAAAAAAATCTTCCATAAATAAAGCCTTTTTAATGACTACATTGTGTCTTTGTATATGAAGGAGAGATATTCAAGTTATACAGATACAAAACTTCTCCAAAAAAAAAAAGAATTTGTTAAATACAGAAAAGATCAATATTTTACTTATAGTAAAAATGAAATTAATTATGATATTTTACCCTTCATTCTAATAATAGGAAAATTTCAAATATGGAAATCCAACAAAATCGTAACGAAACAGTGGTCCAAAAAAACTAGTCATATGAGTAATCAGCCTAAAATATAAAAAAAAGTATGGGCCCAGAGGCAGAAGGAGAATGAGAGGCAGGCAAGAAGATGAAGCTAATGGGTTGAGACAAAGCCACACGATTCTCCCTATCACATCTCCTTCTTTCAATTCATTCATTCATTCGCTATGGGATAATAATACTCATTTTTTGTGCAAATATTAAAAATCATATTCCCAAGTAATGCCCTGACTTTATATTAAAAAACAGCCATTATTGAAGATGAGAGGTTGGTGAATAGACAGTTTTGATAGATGATGGCAACTCTACCTGTGTGTTCAGCTACTGCTTCCTTTTCTTCCCATACGCAGGTTACGAATGTGTTTTTAATTTCTATATTTTTCGTTTGTGTTATTAGTATTCAACTGATAAGATTATAATCTTTAATGAAAAATGGGCATTCAGAATTTAAAAGACGTCTTAACATGTGTGTAAAAGCAAGGGGAATGCAAACAAGTATTTTAATGCACTGTCAGAGATAAATTAATAATTGAATTTAGGACTTCAAATTAGTGCTTCTACTGCTAATAGTAAAATTTATGGGAGTGGAGTGGTTTAATGTACAATTAGTGTCCTAGGCAAGCTAGTTCTTCACATAATGCCTTTGATAGCATGGAATGTTTGAAATTGGGGACAAAATGTTGAGTTCACACCACTCTTTCGTTTCTCTTAGTGCCGGGCTTTATCTACTAGTTATTGTTTTGCTTTTCATCTATTTTCTGGTTCCTGTGATGCTATTATTTATTCTATAATTTTTATTGATGGTACTGATATATTATCTCTTTTCGTTGTCTTTTCGTCTTCTTGAGTCGAGGGTCTATCGGAAATAGCCTCTCTACCCCTCGGGTAGGGGTAAGGTCTGCATACACACTACCCTCCCAGACCCCACTCGTGGGATTTCACTGGGTCGTTGTTGTTGTTGTTGTTGTTGTTGTTGTTGTTTCCAGATATCTAAACTTATGTTCCTGCAGATTCCTCCTATCTATGACTATGAGGGGTTGAGATCCTTTTCCTCCTGTTGGAAGACATACCATATGAAATGCAATGTCATGGACCGGGTGTCTAATTCATTCCATCTTCATGGAGCTTCGTTCCGAGGACAATCACCTAATTCAATGTTTGTACACAATAGCACTCCATCCAGTTCCAGCGATATCATTTATCAAAATGAATTCTTGACTAACCATTTTAGTGACTCTCGCTCTCTGCAATTTGTTGATACTTCTGCTCTACCTAAGTTCTCACTGGATCCTGCTAATCTAGGGTCCGTAACTACAAGAGAATTGGCTTCATTGAACTTGGATTCAAGTTCCTTATCTGATGTGAAATCATATGCTATGGATGTTTTTGAGAACGGACAAAGTTATTTGAACAATTCACTTGATGGAACTAGCTCATCTGTTACATCAGCTCTTAGACAAGCAGTTGATGAAGTGATTAGTAAATTGACATCACAAACAGGGGAGTCGGCGGTGACAGCCATGAAAGAAGCCTCTGGTAGAGTTGGTGTTCTTGCTGTTGATGCATTGAGACATATAATTCTCATTGTTGAGGATTCGGTATCACGATTTGTTGTGTATGCTTATGGGTCTGTAATGGAGATGCTTCCTCCAGAGATCCAGGATGTGCTAAATGTTTCGCTTCTCACTCCATTGCGACAGGTATGGGCTAGTGGTCTCACATTTACTAGTGTACTTCTTTATGTACAAATATTTCATGTTTCACAATTGTATAAAATTGTGATTAGCAGGGTTATGTTGCTCTGGAGGGGTTGGAGAGGAACCTTGGCATGGATCCAAGTGACCCAATTATTCCGTTTGTTCTTTTCCTTGGGGCATCAACCTCTTTTTGGTATGAGTACCTCTTCTATTCCTTATTTCATTGTTCCCTGTTATTTTCCTACCACAGGGAAAGCTCAGTTTAATTTCTACAGAAAGTTATATTGCTTATCAGATTTCTGCAGGGCTTTTTATTGGGTATTGACCTATGGTGGATATGCTGGAAATTTATCTCCCAAGTCAAGTTTTGAGCTTCTGAAAGGAGACAGGAATGCTCTACTCATTGATATCCGATCTGAGGCAAGGCGCTCTCGTTTTTTCTGCAGAATAGTTTATGCCAAAATGTTCTGTGATCTTTGTTCTGCATTGTTTTCCATTACATTTATCTTAGTAAATAATGTTCTGATTTGATACATGTGTACGTTGAGGGTAAAGACGAACAAATGTCCCTTATATCTTTCTTCTTCCTCCTGTATGCTTTTCTGAAGGATCTCAGAGAGAATGAAGGCATTCCTGATCTTCGACGTGCTGCTCGGTCTCGTTATGCCAATATAACACTACCTGAGGTTGGTCGATAACTTCGACGGTGGATTAATAATTTCTTTTGGCAGGAATGAGCTTTCTAATTCCAGGAGTCTGTCTTTTAATTGACAGCCCTCCTTTTTCTCTATATTGCTAAAATGTTTTCAGGTTGATGGATCATTAAAGAAGTTATTCAAGAGTGGAAGAGAACTTGATGACTACCTGCTAGCTGCTGTCATTAGGAACTTGAAGATTGTTCAAGTAAATAGATATGTTTTCAAAATTGCTTTTTTTTTTTTTTTTTTTTTTTTTT